CTTTTTACTTAACATTTCATAAATTTCTTATAAAATTCTTCTTTTCACTTCTTTGACATTTATAGCAAATCATTAACACACATTATTATGAATTTAAAGGTAGCCATTTGTGACATTCTGATCAATAAACTTATTGACACATTTAGTGAACATCTTCTCAGTGTCCACTAGCAGTCCATTCAGTGTGACCCTTAGCATCATTTATACACACTGGAGAAGCCCTGTACCATCCTTTATAAAGGAAAGGAGATAATGCCGTCCCACAATTCCTTGCGACAGACCCACGTAAATGTAGAAACAACAAAGCACCTGTTTTGTGCTTGTGACACGATCCAAAATCAAAATCCTTGTATGATTAGCTAAGCTCCAAAACCATGAATATAGACTTCTTCTCAGTGAAATCCACCCAGTTAGCAGGAATCTTGAAAAACAAGCATAATGATTTTTTTTCTTTCATCTTAAAAAAAACTATATACATTAATGTTGTTTCACTGAATCTCCCCATTGTGGAATGCACAAAAAAAAATTCTCTCCTTTGAAATGTATAAAAAAGGTCAAAGCGTACACACCAGGAGAGCCCTTGCTCAATTCCTCATTTTTATTTAATTATCATTTTAGTGGCTCAACTTTAAAAATCTACAAATTATTCCAAAATATTTTCTTAGATACGATTCCACAGAGATGCCTCTCTACTGGATTCATAAGTAAAATTAGAATCAGAAATTGAAGAAATTTAAACGATATCCAACCCTTGTTTGGACCCTGCTGCTGTACTGTTTATATCAGTGGGTCCCTGTTTGGTTTATCTTGTGCAGGTAACATGATGCACAATGCTGCCAGTAGTTTCACTGTTCCAGCAGTGATGTGCCAAGAAACTGGACCAGTAAAAGCAGGAAGAACAAGAAGACTGCTGCTGACTAAATGTGGCTGAACACAGTAAAAGCTTCTACAGTATCAGCTTTGCAAATGTTTTACAAGGAAGGAAATGATTCAACACGTTTGTTAGCTTACAGTTTTGGTGAGAAACACTACATGTAAACAGAACTACTGTTTGTTTACAAGAAAACTCCACAGGTCACCTTTAATGTTTTCTGCAGTCACGTTGATTTTACTCCGACTTTGTATTTCAAAGTTTTCATCTTCTGTTTTACTTTGTTGTCTTTGTGTTTTGTCAAAGCTGCTTACGTCTAATAAGTTGCATTACTGATCTTTGCAGTCAAACTTTGTTTTTCATCATCTCTGCACATGGCATGAATTTGTGTCTTTTGTACACTACACTGATAATAGAACATGTGTTTAAAGTCAGAACATAAATAAATTTTTCACAGTTAATAATACACTTCTGCATGATAAACACAAAAGCTGTTCATCACAGTATATTTAATTATTATCTGAATAAAGCTGCATTCTGACTCACCAACAGTGAGCTGGATGGAAGCTTCCTTCTGCATTGATTGAAGGAAACAAAGTATTTTCCTGCATCAGAGATTTTCACACTGAAGATTTTCAGGAAGACGTTTCCTTTAATCAGTTCATCCACAAAGAGCTGTTCGGAAACGATAAGACGGGTTTTGATGTTCATCCATCAGTTGTCCCTTGGTAAAATGGATGTACTCTGGCTCCAAACCAGGTTTGGCCCACACCACTATCTCAGAACTGGCGCTGACTGCAGGTTCAAGGTGACATGACAAAATGACATCATCACCAGCCAGTGCTACGATTGGTTGATGTGAACAAATCAACTCTGACTGAGCTGCAAAGAAAACAAAAGTACAAACAACAAACAGCAGCATAGCGTTATTCATGTCATCGAAATAATTAAATTAACAGTATGAAATAATCACTGAAATCTCTCTCAGCTGCATTAAAAACAGGGAACAGATCATCTAAATCCTGAAAGATGTGTGTAGATTATGTTAAATCGACCACTGGAGCCTCAGAGTCTGTATCTGACTCACACTCATCATAATTTTTAGCTTCAGTCACATTTATACTATAGAGCAGCATTATGGTGTTTAACATGTTGAATTGAGTCTTGTTGGTTTTTTTTCTTCTTCTTTTTTGTTGACCGCAGTTTTTTTTTTGAGTCAACCTGTGACAGTATGTCTAACCGTAAAAGGCCTCAGAGAGTTTGAGCTGTGAGTAAAATGTTCTCACCATCAGTCTATCAACAGTCCTGTATCACAACTTGTCAATGGCAGTGAAAATTTTAAAAAGCAGCTGACGCTCTGATTGTATAAAGAAATTTGCATTCAGTGCAGATTTTAGGGATGGTAACATTGGTCAATCAGTCAACCACTTTGGAAAGATTAGATTGGTTCCCATTAAATGTTGAACAGACATTCTGGTTCACAGAGAATTGATCCTTCTGACTTTAAAATCCTGACCCACACCACCAGCGGGTAACAATGTTTGGGCTCAAAAACTATTGGGTAGATTAACATTATAAAGTAATTCCCATCATCCACAGCTGTACTTGTTTAGCTAAACTAAGATGGTGAACAAGGTAAAAGTATACTGCTACAAATCATTGGCTGCCGTTGAAAAGTCAAAAAAAATTTCCTTTCCTAACCACTTTTCTTCAACCTTGATGAAAAATGTCAAAAAAGCGCACAAAATTTATGTACTCAGTATTTTGTTTTAAAGATTCCAGTTTTTGTTGAGTTGTGTCTTTAATGTGTTACTGGAGTGTTGTGCATTGAAATGACCTCCAACAGACTCTATTAGAAGAATGATAAACAGCAAAACACTGCAGGTCCTGAAGGACACTCCATCACTGGACTCTGTCTTTGAATGCAGCATCCTGGAAATAGTTTAAAAAGACAAAATGCTGATTAGTCTGGTTGTTTCAATCATACAAATCAAACATGTCTTTATTTAAATCCAGTATGATCTGATCTTGCCTTCCTACTTTGAAGACATTTTTTTCTGATATTTCAAAAATATCACAGTCTTGTAAAAAATGTGCATTAAAAAGAGAACGAAGGATTTTAACTGTTAGGGTTATCAAGTGTGGCAAAAAGAAAGTAGGCTAACAGACGCACTGCAATTTGACTTTGTTTTATTTCATCAACAGACAATTCTTTATGAAGACAAAAGTAGTTCCGCCAGGCTGCCGGTGGGCTATGACGGTTGCAAAGCAACATACATCAAAGGCTAGAATTATTAGAACTATTTATTTATGTACGTTTCCGTTTATTGTGCAGCCACTAAGACTGTCCAGCGTCAGTAGATTGACTTTAGTAACTTATAATATGTTTGCTCTTGTGTGCCGGCGGCCTGCAGTGCGTAAAATAATAACACTTTAATATAATACCTACCAGAAAGGGCGGAATTGCGTCTCCTTGAGCAAAATCTTTGAACAGGCTATTGAAACTTAAACTTTGTTGCAATATCGCATACTGGGGCAAGTAGTGGACTGATGAGTGTGTTTTCGTGTGTGTGAGAGAGGGAAATGTTGAACCACGTAAAAGCAATGATTTCTCTCTCTCTCTCTCTCTCTCTCTCTCTCGCTCGCTCTCATTATTTATTTATTTATTTATTTATCTCCGCTGGTAAAATGCGATCTGTATCAGATCTGTATCAGAAGATCTGTATCAGATCGCATTTTAATACCAGGTGTAAATGGGGCGTGAGACCTCCACGAAGCTCAGATTATAACTCAGACCCTGTTTGTGGCGGAGTGAAACGGATCTGTGCAAAGGAATTCAATGTCTTACCCGTTATATACGCTCATTATATTATAGCTATGAACCAATCAGATTGCTTGATTTGAGCTACCCGTTTCATAGTAAAATCTCTCCATTTGAACAAGCCATTCTGAATTATCAGTGCAATGTGACAAAGTCACAAACATGTTAGGTTTCTTCAGTCAGTGCTTTGACCGGACACTGACATAAGATCTGGAATTGGGGCGCTGCACAGCGGCTGCTCCCTGCTCCCTTGGATGGGTTAAATGCAGAGGATGAATATCTCAACATGTATGTGTATGTGACAAATAAAGTACATTTGATTTGATTTTCATTCAGCAGATGTAAAATGTTGTTTTAACAATAAAGATGTCCAATGTTTAATATTTAAGTTTTACTTTAAAAGCAACTTTTAACCTGTAGTAGCTACGACAACTGGTAACTCTCCAATTTGATGTTGTGCTGTTGTTGCCTGACATGAAGTAAAGGTCAGTAGATGCAAATTTCCAACCTTTCATGCAAATAATACAATAGAGACATTTTTCACTTCATCTTTCAGAGTTTTACTAACAGTTTAACTTTATAACAGACATATTTGACATATTAATGAAGATCATAGTTAGCTTTAAATTGTTTGTACATAATAATTATATATATATATATAAAAATGAATAATGAAAGTCCACTTGGCTATATGTACATATATTATAATGAACAACATAAAAAAAATGAATAAAATATGTATTTAATAATCTTACTAACGTTATACAGTCAAAGATTATGAATTAATGATAAACAACGTTTAATGTAAAAGTTTAATTTTAAAATGTAATTTACCTGCAGTAGGACAACTGGTAACTCGCCAATTTGATGTTGTGCTGTTGTTGCCTGACATGAAGTAAAGGTCAGTACATGCAAATCTCCTTTCATGCAAATAATACAAAAGAGACATTTTTCACTTCATCTTTCAGAGTTTTACTAACAATTCAACTTTATAACAGTTTTGACATATATTGATAGCTATAAATTGTTTGTATATAATAATTTATATAAAAATTAATAATGAAAGTCCACTTGGCTGTATGTACATTTATTATAATGAACAACATTAAAACATTTATAATATAAAAATGTATTTAATAATCTTACTAACGTTATACAAAGATTATGAATTAATGATAAACGTTTAATGTAAAAGTTCAACTTTAAAATGCAATTTACCTGCAGTATGGCGACTGTTAACTCGAGAAATTAGGAAGTGTGACCAAGGGCCTTTTTGAAACTAGACCCTCTCCACTTCCACTCCGTCACGGAGTCAACTCACAGCCAAATCGAGCTTCCTTACCCGCGTAGGGTTTAAATACAGCGGCCAACTTCCGGATGAACTTGACTCTCCCTAGCGTAAATTATAAAAACTCCTCCATCGTGCAGCAAAGGTGTTACACATCTTCAACAAACCAGCATCGGTGCTCACTCAGGGGGAGGAGGTACTTTCTTAAAATGCCCAAAGAGAGCGAGAGAGACAGAGAGACTACTCACACAAAGACACACACAGAGAACACACAGAAACACCAGGGAAATGCAGATAAACTGACACAGCATAACAAACTAAACTAAACTAACTGACCAGAGGAACAGTACACTGTTCTTTGCTTTACCTTTGATTAGCAAATGTTTAAATTCCAATTCTAAATAATGTCTGAACTTCATCAGGAACAGCTGTCACCAGGGTTATATCTCCTAAACATCTATCAGCACACAACAAACTAATAGAATAGAGAGTTATTAGATGAGAAGCCTTCCATCAAAGTTACAAATTTACTGTTTAAGGCAGGACACTTTTTTCATATAGTGGTCAATTTTGAAATAGTTGGAGTTACCACACCTTAGCCAGGACAGTACAGAGACATTGGTGTATTTTGCTTCCATGTCTTCTTTTACTGTAATGAAAAGAAAACTTGCAAAAACCATTTGTTCAAAAAAAACCACCAAAAAAAAAACCCAGAAAAACACTTGAATGTGAGAATATACAGTGAATATATGTGATATGGTACAGTGATGTACCAGTGCAAACAAGTCCAGCCTGAGTTCAGTCCAGAGCTTTCAGTGCATTCAGATCAGTATGGGGTCTCATGGGGTTGTTGAGTGTTCTTCTGACTGCTGAAGGAAAGAAGCGTTTTTTTTGGCGAGTGGTTTTGGTTGATACCTGTAGCACCTTCCACACAGGAGAAGCTGGAAGTGGTGAGAGAGAGTTCCTTGGTTATTTTAGCTGCCCAGTTGAAGGTGTGCTTAATCCACCGTGAGTTGACTGGGGGGAGGTCACAACCGATTAAAGGTTCAGTGTGTAAAGTGCTAAATAACAGGTGTGGTCCTCCATTTATCCAAATTTCACTTGTCTCTAATAAACCAGACAACTAAACTACAACAACTACTACTTATTCTTCTAACACTACTGCTGCTTCTACTTTATATCTATTCAACACACGATGAGCATCTACACTACCGGGATTCTACAAGAAGAAGAAGAACGTAGTGACGAAATTTGGTTATTTGACAGCCTTGCCACACTTGGGTAGTATAGGATCTCAGTACGCATGGCGGCAAAATAAATCTTCCTGCCATGAAGTTAAGACCAGCTCAACGTGTGTGTCTCTTCTGTTCTTTATCACAAGTCAGTAAACACGCCATAAATTGAGTGTACATGGTAGATTTCCAGATAGTATTATGTCGTGTTATGCAGGTCAAGTTACAGAACGTGTTGTTAGAGAACTCTGTATAACTAGCTAATGCTTACCTCCTAAAAATACAGGCAAAAGTATTATCAGGAAAATTTACTTAAAGTCAGTTTTAGGGCTGACCCCCAATAGTCCAGGAGTCGATGCTTCGATTGGCGGAGCCTGATTCAAGTGTGAATCTCAGCTTTGCAGCGAAACTAGGATCATGCCATTTTGGCGATATTGGGGTGCTCAACATCTGATTTTACATGGAACTACCAGTTTTCTCCCAATACGTTAGAATACAGCCTATTACAATACGTTTCAATGTTTAATGCTGTAAATAAACATGTAAAAAGAATTAAACTTCCAATAAATGTTTTTAAAAGTGCGCAAATAAATCCGTCAGTGCGCAAGTGTAGGTGTAGTAGTGATGGCAAGTTCGACTCTTTTGACAGACTCGTTCATTCAAATCTCGTTCATTAAAATGAACTAATCTTTTTTTGTGTCATTTCGTTCATTTGAACTAGGCTGGTTATTGTGGCGCTGCAGCCCTCTAGTGGGCGATTAAAAAACAGCGCCGTTCCCAAACACGGAAGGCTGCCTGGCTTGCTTTAATTGACAAAGTATAATGCACAAATTCACCTCTTGATTACTGTATTACTATATTATCATTATATAAACCCCCTTGGGCCCACAACCAAATTCAAACCATGTAAAAACCACAGAAATATGTTGTCTATATGCAATGCACTACTCCGGCTAAATCCTTCCATTTTCACCACCAAGTTGTAAAAGAACTCCAGCACAGAGAGAGGAACAAAGAAATAAACACGGTCTGGATGCAGAATGGGCCACATCGGGTCTGGATTCTGCAGACAGAGAAACACACATGAGCACATCGCTCTCAAACACTGCAGGTTGTTCACCAGTCACGAGCTGTGAAACAACAGCACGGCTCTGTTGGTAAATAAAAAGGAAAAGTTACGTTGCGTTCTCTGGCGGACCAGGATCAGCTGTCAGCTGTTTATAGGACTAACGTTAACGTTGCTACGTGGCTGTGTTTTAATGTTTTAATGACCGGGTCTGTTTGTTTTAGAGAGGAGACGACCTCTGAGGTAATTCAGCTCCCGGTAGAACCCTGTCAGGGCTCTGAAGTGGACCCAGAACAACTCTCATCAGCTGTTAGCTGTAAACACTAGCAGGACTAAAGTTACTATGCGGCTGTGTTAAAACTATAACTTAGCACAACATCACTGCGCTGTAATAATGTTATGCTTTATTAAATGTCACGTCATTAACAAAATAGCTATATGTCAGTCCACTTACCTGACGGCCGACCTGCCTCTCATTCTCGGGCGCTGGCAGCACTCAGCCGAGTGAACGAAAGACTGAGGACTCCTCAGTGAGGAGGACCGATGTGAGCGGTGAACGAGTCGTTCATTCCTGCTCCACACAGTAGCTGTCACGTGACAGATGAACGACTCAAACCTGGAGACCCACAGTTGCTATGAGTTGTGAACTAATCAGTTCTGCTTCCTGTGCTGCCTGCTTACCACAGCCCTGTAGCCGAGCTGTCACGTGACAAATGAACGATCAAACAGACCCACAGTTGAGAGTCGTGAACTAATCAATTCTGTTTCCTGTGCTGACGGAGCCCATGCAGCTGCTGTGTGACGAGTGAATGTAAGAGTCCAAGATCCTTCACGCATGCGTGAAAATGAACGAATCACTCACTGAGACAACCCGTTCCTCCCGAGTCATATACACGATTAGGTTAAATGAACGAAACGTTCTTTGAACGACACAACACTAAGGTGTAGCGTGTGTGTGTGTGTGTGTGTGTGTGTGGTGGCGGAAGAGGAACACTTGCTGAAGAGACGGAGACGCTGGTGTTGTGCCGAGTTGTCTGCACCTCGCGGGACTTTCGGATAATTTATCACCGTTGATGAACCACACAAAGAATATTTTATCGCTTTTAAATAGCCGCTACTTGAAATAGACCCACGAGGAACTGCGACGTGTATAGTTGTCGGCGTGATTCGACTATCAGTCGACTAAAGGCAGGACTTGACAACTCTGATTCGACTATTTAAATCCTTACTCGGGGACAGCCCTGGTCAGTTTCTGCTTCAGTTTATCAAACATTCACATTTCACTTGGTTTTCACTGGACAGGAAGGGGATGAAAATCTAGTAACTACAGCTGTCAGACAAATGTAGTTGAGTAAAAAGTATAGTACGTTGTATAAAATAGAAATGCCAAGTAAAGTACAAGTACCTCGGATTTGTATTCACATGCAATCAGTAACTACCAGATGAAATAAGTATTACAATAATAAATAATTCTTCTTCCTCTGTGCCGCAGAGCTTCATTGTCATCGAGTCACATTGCTGCACTGGTGACGTGTTCCTCTGCTTGTCTTTTGTCTTTAAAACAGATTTAATAATCTCTGTTAGTTTATTTTAAAGTCACATTGTATGAAAAACTGCTTTGCAGCGTGCATTGTGTTATAAACTGTCAGCTGTCTCTGTGTTGCTCTTCCTGAAGTTCAGGTTTCATCTCCACAGTTCTTCCTGCTGTATCATGAGGGCATCTTATTTCTGTCCATCGTCTTCACTGACTGAAGTGTCCTCTGCAGCTCCTCGGTCTTCTCCGCTTTCACTTTGTTCTTTCCCCTTCTTTTCTTTAATGATGTCATGTTTGTTTTTAAGTTTTTTCTCTGTCTTCCATAGCTGAATTGTTTTTTCTACATCTCTCTTTTCCTTTCTCCGTTGGTCTGCACGTTCTCTTCGTTCCCCAGCTTCTCCCCGATTCCGCGGTTTCGTGGAAAACATCTGAAAATGAGAAACTAAAGCAGAAACAGAAATATGATGGTTGAGCTGAAAATATTTTTACATCAAAATGGAGAAAAGACATTTTGCATTACAGGTACAACATTTAAGTTTTCATTCCAATATGAGGAACAAAGCATCTGAGACGAGTGCCACTTCTTTATTTTCTTCTTCTTAGACCCCATATTATGGTGGATGTTCTTGTTTCCTCTGATCTCCCCCTCCTCTGAGTGCTACCTCTGCACCATCTGTACCACATTTTATATTTCCTATTTTGTTCATTTGCCTTCATTGTATTAAAATATACGTTAGTATTAAATCATGAACATTGTGCTATATAGTATATGGATACTTTGGAATTAACCACTATGTATAACTGTAGCCAATGAAGAGCTCTGAGAGTAACTTGACATAAAAAAGGAAAATATGTGTTAATATGTGACTTACGTTTCCGTGTCAGTATTAAAATAAAAAGCAACAAGACAGGAGAATAAACAACAATGGTGAAGATCCCGATCCCTATCAAAGAGGACTGATCCATGAAGAAACCAGCTGAAATTATGAAACACAGAACAGCATGACACATTTATATCAGACTAGACTTAAACTTTTTCAAACTAAAACACTAACATTATGCAACAACATTATGCATAATTTACACAGAACTCGTTCTAACCTGCAACCTGGATGTGAGTGTCTCTGGTCTGGTTGAGGGTCCTTCTGTTGGACTCTACAGGTGAAGTTGTTGCTGTGTCTCTTCTCCACAGTCACTCTGCTGCTGACAGTATAGAGGTCATCAGGACCTCTGACTGTCTCTGTAGGTCCAGCAGTGAGGAGGTTTCCCTCACCGTCCAGCCAGAACACCTCAGGCTCTGGATACCAGCCTTCAGACTCACACTGAAACACCACACTGTCACTGTTATCTGAGACAACCTGTATGATGGGCGAGGAGACAGCACCTGAGGAGAAAGAGAGGAGGAATTAGGACAGTGGGTTTTAGTGTATATCTTTGTGAGTGACTCTAGATAGCACTCGGAGGTCAGTGCAACTCTCCAACGATATGCCTTCCCAGACTAATCCCTGAGCCACCACCAAACCAGTACTGCTGGATTATGTTGCTGTCACAACAGCCAACCTGCTCTCATCTTTGAAGAGAACCGGGTGCCGATGGCGAACCTGCCAATTATGGTGCTCTCTGGCAAAGGCTGATCGAGCTGCACAGTGTTGGGCTTTGACTACAGATGTTACTAGAGGAAGTCTGACATTGACACTGATTCACAATCACTTGTGCTTCCTAACTGGACAGATTGATATCCCTGAAGTTTAATCAATATTATGTTATACTTTGATGATGTGGAGTGTTAATTGTTTTGAGCAGTGTACATTAGAAAGTGTTTTCCACCAAAATATTTTAACCTTTCCAAACATGTTGAATGTGTTTACTACCTAATAAAACATTTACCGTCTTCTTCTCTGCACTGCTGCCTTTTATAGCAAATCTTCACCCTCACCATCAATGAGTTTCAAACACACTGGCCAGGTGAGGCCAGTTGCAAAGAAAGTATAATGTTGAGCCCTGATGTTGGCATTAGCATATATTTTTATCACCTCTTCTGACCAAGTCGTTGTTTCAGAAATGGATTCCTATTTTTGCTTTTTGCTGAGCTGTGTCATCAGTGTGCTACTGAAGTGTTTTGCATTGAAATTACCTCCAACAGACTCTATCAGAAGAATGATGAACAACAAAACACTGCAGGTCCTGAAGGACACTCTGTCAAAGGACTCCATCTTTGAACGCAACATCCTAGACTCCTGAAAATTAAAAACAATTGTTTTAAAAGGACAAAAGGCGTTTTGCCTGTTATTTTTTTCATATAAATTACACAAATAAAACATATCTTTGTAGAAAATTAGCATGTTTCTGATCAGGGTTGAAATCCAGTCTTGTAGTTTGTCTTTGGTTTCACTTCTCCTACAGTGAGATCATTTTTTTGTTCCTCTGGATGTGATGTGACTTCTTGTTTTAAACTGACCACAGAGCCCAGACCACATGAGATGCATGTGTTGTGTCTTATAAAGCAGTTCACAAACCTCCAAAATGTTTTGGGTTAAGAGGGAAAAATCTAAACATCCTTTAAATCTTGAAGCTGGTGCTCCTCACTGTCACTCCAGCTCTCTGATGGAATTTCAACAATTAAACAAGCTATTCTGAATTAACCCTCAGCGTGAAGTTTTTATTCAGCAGCTGTAAAAAGCTTCAACATTAGGAGTAGCTCTCACATGTAAAACTGTCAACATATCACAGGAAATGTATTATCATTCAAAAAAAGAACTTTTAACATTAATATAACCTAACTGATAATACTGCTGTAAATTAGACTCTTGAAAAAATTCGTGAAATAGTGTTAAGCGCTGTTTTTTTGTGGCTTTCACTTTCATCGTACACACACACACAATGTTTATTAGGCTATCATTATAGTCTTCCAGAGGATTAGTTTTATAATGCATAAAATAATAATCACATTGTTTTGACAGTCAAAGATTATGATGTGATGACATATTTAAATAAGCAACTCTTACCTACAGCGTGACAAACCCAAAGTGTGTAATGTGATGATTTTTCTCTCCTAAAATGAGGAAGTACTACACCTTGTGACACAGTCACCCTGGTCAAACCCTTTGCAGGAAAAAGTGTCACAATGTAACACTATGTCTGTTTTTTGATCATAGCTTTTATACTGTAATTGAATTTTATTAAAAAATATTTTTGTTACAGTACTTTCCATATAAAATTTAAAAACATTTACAGCATGCAGAGACAAATAATGTTACATGAAATAAAGAAAGGGACTGGATTCAAAAAGCCCCCTGGATTTAATGGTTTGTGCCTCAACTCAAGTTTATTGCAGTAATCTAAACCAAGTTTTTAAAAAGAAATACAGTGAGTAGATGATTGGCTGCTTGAGTCAGTGTAGAAGGTAAAACAGAGGGACATGAAGGAGAAAGTAATCCCCTTGTTGTATTGTCTTTTAGCTGACAAAGAACATTATACATTTCTCCAGCAGGTGTGACAGTGATTAGTGATAGCCGTAAAACTCAGTGGAAAGAGGCTTTTTTCAAGAGGTCTCTGTGTGTTCCTCAGTCAAATTCATCAGAGCAAAACTATTTATAGAGACATACAGTAATTCCTACACTTATCTATAGCTTTTAATATTTTAATATTATTTCTAGTGTTTCTACAGCTTCTTATACCTCGCTGAAACAAAAAGGATGTGTCAATTTTGGGAAATGATCAAAACCAAAAAGTCCAAGAAGAGGAAGAGGAAAAGTGCTGATCTAGTATTTGGGAAATTACACCGACTGCTTTCATTGTACTACTTCCTGTTTGGATGGGTGTGAGAATCTCTGCTCATGTTTGAGCCGTTTAGTTTCCCTCCCTGCTATTTCCTGCTTTAACATGTCAGCCTTCTGTGTTACCCTTCGTTTAAACATATCCATTACTGAAGTAAAAGTATTAATACCACCCTGTGAAAGCACTCCACTACAAGTAAAAGCCCTGCCCTCATTACCTTGACTTAAGAAAAGGTATTTCGGCATTATCAGCTAAATGTAAATTATCAAAGTAAATTTACTCATTGCGCCCTCTTGTGGTTGAATTGAAACATTGCAGTGTGGACTGAAGCAGATCTGCTCCCCTTCTTAATGATCCAGTTTGTGACTTCATGTGGATCAAACATGTCTTAGTATCCTTGTTTTTATCTTGTAGATGTGCAGCTGGTGTTTGGGGTGATGGAGGTTACCCCAGCAGTGGAGCTGTTCATAAGAAGACCATTCGTGCAGAGGAAGAGGAGATGAGAGAGGATGAAGCAGTTAATGAAGACAACACATGAAGAGCAGTTATGAGTAAAGATGAAGCAAACTCTGTCCGAGTCTCCGGGAGGATGAACACTTGGATCAGAAACATCTGGATAACATCAGGAGCCATGAACTGACACACAGTCCTGCCATGTCTCCAGTTTGCTCTGCAGTTGATGAAGATCAGGTGTAATGTTTAGCAGCCTACACTAGCCGGTACTCTGTGTAGTAAAATTCAGACATATGTATAAATACCCCATTTAGAGTTGATCCAGTAACTCACAGTGAAAGAAACAGCAGGTGATGGACAGACAGGTTGTCGTCCGCTGTTTCTGTCCATGGTGCTGAACTCACCCAGAAAATCACTGACCCACCTGATCCATTCAGGTTTAAATGATCTTATTAGCTAGTTATACGTACTATTTACTCAGATAACCGTCACTGTAAAAAGCACCAGAAGTGGAACAAGTATTCAGATTATCTTACTTAAGTAAAAGTACTACTAACACACTGTGGAAATACTCCCCTACATGTAAATGTCTTGCATTTACAACAAACCCTCAGTGCTACATAGTAATAATCCATATCTATAAATAATGACTAATAAATAGACTGGCTTATTGAACGACTAGTATTTATTTACATGTTTACACACATACAATCAATGGTGGAAGAAGTATATACATATATAAATAAAATACTAAAAGCACACTGTGAAAATACAGTTAGGCATTTAAATCCTTAAAGGGACCATATGTAAGTTTTTCAATTAATTTAATCAAATTTTCATTGCCTCATTTTCAGTAGGCTCAAAACTCACTTAGAAATGAAGCACACGCCTGTTTTCTCCGTTGCTTGCATCAGCCACTATTCTGCTTTTAACGTGGGGTCTCCGGGTCGGATTCAGCCCTGTGCGCGCTCCCGAGCCTTTCTCGTACTACAGCGACAACACGGCAGCTAACGACATGCCGTCCACTAACACCATAAAACAACCGGCTCACAGCAAACACAGGCTCCACGTAAGGATACAAAACAACAAGGAAGTTTTATGTGCTGAAGCCAGGAGCAGCCAGCTAACGCTACAGTAGCTCGGACCTGCTGCTGTTGGCTTGGTAACGTTCAGTTGTTTATTGTGGTTTTACCAATACTCAGGTTCACAGCTTCTCCACCTCTCAGTCGCTGTAACTAACTTGACCCACATAATATAAAACACTGCAACAAAAAGGTCACAACAACCTAGAGGAAGGAAGAGCCATCCACTAACACTAGTTACAGTTAAGCGGTGTTACTGTTATAAAGTGTGACACTATCTCATTATAATATCCATTCCAGCTCACTAACCGTTTCATTATCCAATACATGTAGCTGTGCTGATATTGCTGAGCCTCCAGTGACAGATTTTACAGATAGTAAAGATATTTGCAGAAAAGCAGCAGGCGAGCTAACGCTGTAGCACGTCGGCTAAATGTAGTAAATGTAACGTGATCATGTAACGGGCATGGATTACTTACACCTGCAGCTGATAAAACTCTTACTGCAACGTTACATTGGGAGTTTACCTGAGCTTCCATCTCAGTATTTTGTTACAATGTTTTATAATGAAATGAGTCGCCTTTACATTTTATGTACTGTAATTTATCCCTTTGTATACTTTCTATAAAAAGTACTACAGTACTGTTTAAATACGACTGCAGATGAAAAGTAGCCTTTCTGGTTCACTGGCATATTTTCAATAAGTACTGCCCCTGTCAAATAAAGTAAGACAATAAACCAAACTAAATCTATTTTTAAATGGTCAATAAAGAGGAAAGTAATTGTCAGTTTGTTCATTATTTTTCTTTTACAGACGCTCTCTTATCCAGAAAATCCTTCATCTAGTAGAAGAACAGCAACATAGTGGAGTTGGTAGAAAAAGTAAATACAGTAAACAAGCTAATAATATCGTTCAATCTAACAAATGATAACCAAAGTTTTTACCTCCACATTCACAAGAGAAATCCAAACAAGTGGAATATGCTTTAATATGCGCTGTCCCTCAACTCCTTGATGTTTGCAAGCAAGGTGAACAGGAAGTAGAGCACTCATTCTAGGTACAATGTATTGTAACTACACACAAACTTGTAGAAGAGAAGTCACTTCCTTCCTGTTTGGAAAAACCCTGAAAATAGAGAGATTCAGTTGAAGGTGAAAGAAGTTATCTAATGTCCTAAAGAAATAAATAAGAAAATCTAATTAAATGACTTGTTAAAGATTAATGTATTACTACTAATAATTATATAGTAGTATTAGTAATAATAATACCAATGATACTTTAATAGTAATATTTATAATCTATATATCTTTAACTTCTACTAATACTGGTACCTCTAACCCACACTACTACCCACTACTTCTTTACTTTAGCTGTACCCATGCATATACTACTACTACAGATAGTATTACTATAGTACAACTACTCTAGTGCTGCCACTTTCAATTATAGATGTACTTCTACTATAGTTATATTACTACAACTGGTAGGTCTACTACTACCACTTCTACTCTCCACAGCTGTATTTCAAATTTACAAAAACTTACGCTACTTCTTAAACTGCTAGTAGTGTCACCATTACAATTATTATTATTTTTACTGTAAGTAAAGTTAGAAAGTAACGTTTATTTATATAGCACCTTTCATAGATAAAAATTGCAAAGTGTTAATAAAATGCAATACAACAAAGTAAAATACAATGGAATACTGTCACAACTTGTACTACATACGCAGTTATCTCATACACCATTTGTAAAAAATAAAGAGAAAACAAAATGCACTGTAAGATGTGGCGTCTCACCTTCACCAGCGAGGCCACCCTGCTCCTCTTCATAATTTTTCATCCCTACATCACAGTCCCTGCAGCAGAAACACATGTTACAGACCCACACTGATCAAGATGGCTGTACTATTAATCCAAGTTCACAATTGCAATAGGGCGGTGCAATATTTGTTAAAGTGATATGTGTGCCAAAATAACATTTTAAAAGAAATATTGTCGTGCTGCAGAGGTGCCCCGGCGTACATATTATGTTCTCGAGACTTCCGAAAACATCTTTTTTTGGTACAGATTCCCACAAAAATCACACCATAATCCATTTGAGAATGAGAATAATAGTGTAAAAATGATCACTCCCCCAGTATCACAAATCACAATTGCTATATCAGTCAAAATAATTGCAATTAGATTTTTTTCAAAATTGGTCAGTTTTATAGACAGATACATCAGCCCGTTCTCATTCCCAGAGGGTAAAATACCAACACTTTGTCGCGTCTATTGGCGTCTGGTACCAACGCAAATGGCACCCTTTTGTGGGGAAGCACTTTAGCACCATTGTTCAAAAAGTACTCCTATAAGTAGTCAACGTTTAGTCCTTTTAGTGTAGTTACATAAGCTAACTAAGTTACGTACGTTAAGTAAGTAGCGTTATTGAACTTAATTTAAGTCATTTTAGTAGTAGTAGTTATTTTAAGCCAAACCATCACTTTTCCTAAACTTAACCAAACTTAACCTAACAGCAACGTTTTTCCAATGTTGCAGTTTTATTTGAAAGTCTAACCAGACCTTGCATAGTTATTCTTGCTAATTTGAACACGGAGCCCTACAAGTACAAACCAGTGCTAAAGGGTCTTGACATAGCGTCTATATGTGGTGCCCTGATATGAGAACGGGTTGAATGCATCCTCAGGTTCATATGTTCTTACACAGCCTTGTAGAAATTCTTCTGGTTCACCATGTAGTCGTGGAAGATGTTTATGGCTTTAAACACGTCTATCTGGTCCTGGTATTCCTCTAACACCTTTCTGTATCTGTCACACACACACACAGAGTAAAAAGGATAAATTAGGATAACATAAAACAACTACCTAACCTCCTATACCTGACTCTTGCTCAAACCCCATTGGCTCACAAATCAGGGGCCTCATGTCAGGAGGGACTCTTGGGCGTGGGATGATCTTCTGTGAAGCTGCTGAAATCAAATCTGCCACTCAAAGTACAGTGACTAATACCAGGATGTCCTACAAAATATTATTGCACTTTCTGGTGAGAGTTGGATGAAAAGACTTTTCTATATGTAAATATAGAAAAGTGTTGCAGTAGCCAACAATATTTGAATAAAAATACCAAAACAAACAGTGTCAACAACCTCGTTTTTTCTTTGCATAACTGCTATGATCAGGAAGCCAAAAGTGATTGTGTGACAGTGTTTTCAAACTTCTAGGTTTTAGGTCTTTGGATTTGCTGTGTTAGTCTGGACGGGAGGTTTTAAAACAATTGCATGTGTGTGAGGGAGTTAAAATAAATTGGTAAGGGAGTAAGAATTCTGTTAAGTATATTTAACGTGTTATTTAATAAAAAAACAATTCAGAAGTGCCCTATTTTTCCACTTGAGCCCGTGCCCCTCAAAATGTCTGTACACATCCCTGTACCTGCGAATCCAGGCGACCTCCTTTACACTCTCTTCACTCCACTGCTGGTAGATGCTGGAGGCCTTATCCTCAGACCCAGACACCAGCGGGGAACCAGGCTTGAGCTCAGCCAAAAAGTCCCGGAGGCAGGCCCGGGCCGACAGGGCCACCAGCCAATAGATCGGCTCCTCCAAAACCACAGAGTGGAAAGACTGCAGGGCGAAGTGGAGCCACTGTGGGGGAGGTGAAGTGAGGGGGCTCTGGAGGAGGACACAATCAAAAACTAAATTACATTTTGTTCAAATTCTGCTAATATCATTTATTTATTATATTGCTTTATATTTTTAGAGGTGTATGTTTATTGTTGTTGCTCACCTAGTCGCCAACACAAATTCCTTGCATGCGTAAAACTAGGTTCTTACATGAGGCATTTTTAATCTGATCGGGTGTTATTCTCCTTATTAGAGACCAAAACTGCTCTTTGTAAACAAAGCCTGTCTGTCTCACCTGGTTTCTGCTGCTGTAGTGTTGAAGTGTGTCCAGCAGCAGTGATCTCGTGTTCTCATCTGCTTCCTGTAAACTACGCATCAGTGTCTGCAGGAACAAACAAGACGCTTACATCACAGCCCAGTCACACCAGTTCACCTCAGACTGGGAAATAAAATCACATTCACAGCAGTGCAAACATTAAGTTTGAAAAGAGTTTGTCCCAGGATCGCCCATCTGATAAAATTTTGACTTTTAGATGATTTATTTCAGAAAGTATATGAAATCCATTAACAATATAGTCATACGTTCTGTCACTGTGTTACTTATGGATGGATTTTTTGCTGGGACCCCCTGGACCCCTATTTGAGAACCACCGCTCTAATTAACAAACAAGCCTAAACAAAGTCCAAGTTACCAGGAGACAGCTTCACACAACATCCTGGAAACTCAGGTAAACTCCCACTGCAACGTTACTGTAATATTTTTTATCAGCTTGAGGTTGAATTAATCCATGCTCGTTACATGATAACGGTACATTAACTGCATTTAGCCAGCGTGATACATCAGCATTAGATTGTCTGATCGTTTCAGGAACGATTTGTGTATCTTTCCCCGGGGGCTCAGCAATGTGAGCACAGCTAAACGTACTGGATGATAACAAAATGGTTAGTGAACTAGACTGAATATTACAAATTATATTGTTGCTTCACTTTATATCAGTTAGACCGCAGTAAATTATGTTACTGTAGTGAATGGGTCTTCCCCTGTGGTGTTATCCTGTGCCATTAGGTTACATTATTGTATATTATGTGGGTCATGTAAGTTTAAGCGACTAAGACCGATGGAGAAGCTGTCTAAATTGAATGTTATGAAGCTGCCCCTGCCTTTCATCATTACAGGCTTGTGAAACAAAGCGCTCCACATTTATTTTGTCCTGTTACATCCTTTCTTGCCGGCCAAAACACATTGACATAATACCGGTAGTACACAGGATATTAATATGGGTCGTGTTAGCTGGTGAAGTAATGTGGAAAGATAAATAACTATAGTATTTTGCACCAGATAACGTTAGCAACTCGTCATTAGCTGGAAAGCTAACATTATCTAATTTAAAGGCTCAGTGTGTAAGTTTTAGTGGCATCTAGTGGTGAGAGTTGCGAATTGCACAACCCCTCCCCTATCCAAGCAAATTTACAGTTGCGGTTCCTGAGAAAAGACAAAAGATGTCCTCTGTGAGATAGAGTCAATCAGGTTTCTTTAGATAGATATATTAAGAAATTATATTTACTTGATTATTCAGTAAAACCATAAACAGCCATATAAAGAAATGAAGTGCTACAGGATGTCTCATACTCCTGTAATACAGTATTTTACAACTTCTGGACCAACATACCAAAGTAAATGAAGAACATCTTAAAAACTATCACATCTAGTGCATCAAGTATGACCACTGACAATTTAATCCTCACTGTTTCTGCACCAGTCCATTATAAACCACATAATACATGAAGTTTACAAATGTATTGTCAGGTGAGGATCAAGGCTCCTCTCGCTTGCTTAATTAATTAGATAAGCAATCTGCAAATCTTACCAACATATCTTTTTTATTTTTTTGAAATACAACAGAAACACAAAGTAGAATTGACTGCCAGAATTTCAGCTTGTGGTAAAACGGTGCAGCGTTTTAATGGGCATTTAGCATGTGAAAGTACAAATTACACATTTGTGTGCACAGTAGCGAAGCACTATCCAAAAATAAAATTCGGAAAGTTTTCATGGTCACTTGACAGGCACACAGTCATGTTATGTGTCACTATTAGCAGCAAAAATAAATATTTGTTTTCCACCAGGGCAGTATTCAACTGAAGTTTAGCTGCTGATCTCAGCTTCCCTGCTGTTACCGTTTTATTGTCATTATTATTCATCAGCGGTTTGTCTCTGCAAGGTGGACAGAAATGTGCCGTTACCTTCCTGTCCACCTTGCAAAGCCATAACAGAGCACTGTAAAATAACTACATTAAATTACAATCCAACAACATATTTCTTTATAACAGGTCAGTAAAAGTTTTGCTGGCTGATCTTTCACGCTGGAAGCTGCAATTTTCATTGCCAATTAGTAATCAGCTGGTTGTCTCACCAAGGTAACCAACAAAGCCAAAGCACAGCGCTGGAATTTTACTACATGAAATTAATCCAACTACGTGTTTTTTCTACCAGAGCAGTAAAAGTTTAGCTGGCTGTAAGCTAACGTTACCATTGCCAATTACTGATCAGCTGATTGTTTCGCCAACATAACCGGAAAAGCCAAACCACAGCGCTGGAGAACAACAAGGCTACATGGAATAGTCCAACTACATATTTTACACCACTGACAGGGGAAATGTAAATGCTGTATTTGTATAGCGTCTTTCTAGTCTTTTCAACCACTCAAAGCGCTTTTACACTTCATCTGCATTCACCATTCACACACTGAGCCTAAGTGCTCAAACAGAAACTAACATTCACACACTGGCAGAACAGCCAATAGAGGAAATTCAGGGTTCAGTATCTGGCCCAAGGACACTTCGACATGCAGCCTGGAGGAGCTGGGGATTGACCTTCCGCTCTACCTCCTGAACCACAGCTGAAATACATCACTTCTCTCGGTGATTATGGCCAGCTTCTAGCTAAAGTATCGCTAAAGTCCGACTAACTTCATTACCTCTCTAGCAGAAAACAGATAGCTTCAGCTCCGCTTTGAAAACATCTGTCGCCTTCCATCTGAGAAAATCCACACCGATTATGTCCGTGATTTTTTGCCTCATCTGTCTGTATCTGTCCCGACTCCTTATGCTTCAAGGTATAAAAATCCATTGGCTGTCAGCTCTCGTGCTAAATAACATGTGTGCTCATTCATTTGTCCAAATGTCACTTCTCTTCTTACATCTAATAAACCACTCGGAGACTGCTTATTCTTGTTATTATAATTATTTCCTGTTCTTCTTCTACGGACCCATTTAATGTAGTGATGGGCGTCTACACTGCCGGAGTTATACAAGCAGAAGAACACCGTAACAACGAACCACGCTCTGTAGCACGGTTTGTCAGTTGTCGGCTACTGTAGAAACATGACACAACACTGCAACCTCCATAGGAGGGTGTGCCGGCGGTTATGTAGATATAAATGATTCTAAGGTAATAAAAACATAATGGTTCATTATGTAAGGTCTTTATACACTACTGAGAACATAGTTATGGATCTTATATTGCGTTTCTGTCAATAAATCCTCAGTAATATTACACACTGAACCTTTAATTCAATCACAATTTGTTTAACATGTTTTGCAGTGAAGTTAGTTCACCTCCCTAATAGGATGAAAGCCAACTCTGGGTCGGATTATATATCCAAAACAAAGCGGAGGTCTCTCCATGATTCAAACAATCATGATGAGTCAGTAGACGAGCATCAGAGTATAGTTTAGTAAAGAAAGAAAGGCAGAGAGATAAATGGGTAGAAAGACAAAAACAGACAAACCAGGAAAATCTTAAACCTCTGACCTCCAGTGTGCTGCTGACTCTGTGCAGATAGAGCGCCTCCTGCTGGATGAAGTTGTTGTAGCAGCGCTGAGTCAGCTGACCAGACCAGAGCTCCTTGAGGAAGGAGGACGAGCGGAGAATCTCCTCCGCCAACAAGTAGCTGTTGCCCCACACAACATTAAACAGACTTGGACCGTGGATGATTCCTGAGACAGAGGGGGAAAAAATCTAAATGTTATTGCTATGTGATGTTTAATAGTCCTGCATTATATTAAGAAGTGTTTCCAGTGTTTAGTCTATTGTGCAGCCAGTAACTGGTAAAAGTTGCCAGTGGGAAAGATCTGTAAAAAGTTAGTAAGTGGACTTAGAGTTTTGACTGGTCCAACAGTAATTTCTTTGCCATACATACTGGGATGCTACAACAACCAGTAAACTGTTACCTGGTTTCCTGTCGCTGGGGACAACTTTGGAAGAGGAGCTGGAGATAAACAGAGAAGTTATTCAAGGTGAGCAGATAATACAAAATTTTTCTTCATGAGCTGATTCAAGGTTCAGACACACATGGTCGATCACACATTTGGACTTTTAGCATCGCCTCAGCTCGCTTGTAACCTCGACAGAGGTGAAAAAAAGTAGCAGGTATAAGTACAACTTTTCCACAATGGAAAACCAAAAAAAGGCGAGCAGAGGCCAGACGAGTTGAGCTGGTACCTTGCAGTGGAAAAGGGGCTGACTATTTTTTGGGCATATATATATGTGGCTTTAGGGCGCATGTACACTTTTAGTGAGGTTTCTATGCACACTTTTATAAATGAGACCCCTGGTCAAGACTGGTTAAAACTTAAGTCACAGTTATACTGTTAACTACCAACATGTCATGTGTACAGTCAGTCAGAAGGCTAAAATAGTTACAAATGCTACTCATGCTAAATTTTTCTCTTCTAAAATCAAATTTTTTAGTCAAAGTTGGAAGGGGAGTCAAAATTGATTGTTTTACTTTGGCGACTCTCACAGACACACAGACAGCAGCCAGTCCGGTCGCTGATCATAAAGTAGCCCACTTTGATTAATCCTGCGTTAAAATAGAAGGAGTTATTTTTCCTATAGTTCTATCATTTGACAACCCAAATAATAATGTTAAAATTAATTCATCATGTTAGTTGATCATCTGTTTTTTCACTAACTTAATGTAATATTAAACAACATAGCGGCATATGTCAATATTGTAGGTGCCACACAACAACACACACCGACTCCAAATTACTGAGTTTAGATAGCGATCCTTTTATATGAGTATCAATCCTAGAGCAGGAAACATTGGTATCAGAAATATCAATACTTTAGTATCGATCCGCACATCCATATCTGATACTCAACAGATTTTGTGTCACTTAAAGTAAATAACCTGAACACTCCCTCCAACATTGTTTTCAGACTTTAGTCTACCTGGCTGTGGTGGAGCAGATGTAGAACCTGAGCTCTCCACAGGGGGCGCTGTGCAGCTTTCCACCTGAGCACAAAACACACAGAAGGATTTAGTTTTTAAAGAGGAATAATGAAGTATTGTGCAATTCAAAGATACGTTATTTATTCATTTTGAAATAATCAATTTCTTAACTATCCTTGTTTTTTCTTTTACTTTTTGGTTCCATTTCCATGCAAGCCCCGCCTTCGCTGGTATTTCCCTGCCTCTGATTGGTCCAACCACTCATCCTGAAGGGTGAGTCGTCACTCCAAAACCAAGAGCCATTCTTCAGAAAGAAAAGCAAAGAGACAGGTGTCACTTTGGGCTCTGTGTAATTGTGATAGTATTTCTCACTATTAAAAAGTGTTTACATATCAAACAATCAATAGATTAATGGAGAAAATAATCAGCAGATTAATCCATAATGAAGTCAGATCCAAAATAGCTCAAAATGAGCTCCACCTCAACAACTACAGCAGTAAACTCCTGCTTTACATTAAGACATGAGGAATAATAACCTGATGATAGAATATAATAGTGTAACAGTCACAAGGGACAATTTACTGCACTGAGAACTTTTACTTTTAATACTTACATACTCAAGTAACATTTTCAATGCAGACCTTTTACTTGTAATAGAGTATTTTTACAGTGTGGTACGAGTACTCTGGACTGGTAATCTGGCATAGTGGGCAAATGCCCGGTGGGCCGCCGCACCTTTGGGGTGGTGTAATGTAAATTAAAGGGCCCATTGAGTAATTTACTATATTGACACCGGGCAGGTATTTTGTTGTCATGTTTCTACAATAGCCGACAACGGACAAACAGCGCTACAGAGCGTGTTTTGTTATCACGGCTGTTTTCTGCTGGACAGGTAACTAACTTAAGTTTGTCATTAAAACTTTTACAATGAACCTTTAAGTTAAAAACTGATTACTGATAACTGCATTAAATTCTATTATATTTTTATATTCTGAATGGAAAAATTGTAAATATCCCTACAACCCGTTCTCACTCCCCAACTCGTCACAAATGGACGCATTGTCAAGGGCCATCAGTGTTAGTTTGTAACGCACTGGGAATCCAGTCATAGGTCAACGCAGTAGGGGAAGCCCTGTAGCATCAGTTTGTGACGGTACAGGCATGTATATATTTAACAGAGGCTATACAGCCAGTGTGCTAATTACGAGGGAGCCAGGGGGAGCTTTACTCCTCTTAATAAGACATGAGCTCCCCTGAAAACACGATTTGTAATATTTTGGCTCAATATGCTATTTTTGCCATTCATTTCTATTTTTCTGTAGCCTATCATCATGAATCATGCGTAAATCAGTAGCGTCGTCTCTCGCCCTGTATGCACCAGCGCCCGCTCCCTCTCCGGTGGTAGACCTATTAGTTGTGTTGCCAGTTGCTGGTCAGTGGTCGTTCCCTCTGGCTGGATGAAGTCTGACGCTCCTAATCCATGTGTTCCTGCAGCTGGAGGCTCTCCGCAGTGCCGCGCAACTTTCTAAATTCTCCCATCTCAGAAAATAAAGCTCAGGCTGAAACAGCGTAGAGAGTCTTAATGAAAATTACCTGAACCTTTTAATCAGTGTATGATTTGTTAACATACAGCTCGCCAAATTAACTAATAACAGTTCATTTTTGCTGTGTACCAGTGGATGTACTGACAACTAGGCTATCACTGTATTAATCTGATACTGAATAAATCATTGCCACATCGTCTGTTTAAAACTGCCCTAGAAGATGTATAGTATATGGTGTTATGTGGTATGTGATATTCAGATTTTGATGAATCATGACAAAATACTCCGTTCAGTAATCAGAGCACTGTGAATGGGGAGAGAGGGTGACCTTTAAGGCAAACAAGACACACGTACATACAGATACCCCTTCTGCTGCATGCAAGGGGTAGGCAGAAACACAAACAAACAGACTTTTGAATACATTCCACTGCACAGTATTGCAGCTTTCTATTGAAGGAAAATCGGTGGGGAAGGCCAACCAACAGAGCACAGAGTGGTAGAGTACCAACTAGCAGTAAATGGTGCAGTGCATCCGCGAGCACTAGGTCTCAAATTCTTTTGATTACATCAAATGCCACACATTTCTCTGTTGGTGATTCAAAGGCCTGGTTAAAATTTTACATCAACAACGCGACTGGTTGGTTTTCATTCTGCAGTCCATTACAAGAAGCATGCTGATTTGACCAGTGCTTGCTAAAGCGGTTAGCTCACAATGGTCACACACAAGGCTAGTCTGTCTTAATTGCAATTCGAACAGACAGGATAAACCTGGGACATGTGATCACAGTGAGAGTGCATCTCTCCCTCTGACTGCTTTTCCATCTATTCCAAAACCAATCACCATAAAGAGGTGATGATGATTTTGTAGACAAAGGATCCTAATTATTAACAAAGGTTAAAAGAGAGAGCCCTGTGATGGACTGGCGATCTGTCCAGGGTGTACCCCGCCTTTCGCCCGATGTCAGCTGGGATTGGCTCCAGCCCCCCGCGACCCTGTATGCAGGATAAGCGGATGACTATGGATGGATGGGTAAAAGAGAAATGAATATCTCTCCCATGATTCATGGTGAAAACAGTGCACTTTACCTGACTTGAAACTGAGATGACAGAGCCTGCCTGACTGAAAAGGCTCTCTACAGTTCGCCATACTCGGGGAATACCAAGACCTGACCTCCGTTCTTACTTAGGTGGATGACCACACCTGACCTGTTCTGACACTACATCTTTGGGGGGAAACCAGTTGCCTGGTGCTTTGTTGTCCAGTTGCTTATTTTATACTGAACTAGATGTTTGTCTGTCTGCACCCATTTGCTGACCTTTAATGATAAAATTCACACTAACAGATTCTCACAGGAGAAGCCAGAACAGATGCTGCCAGCTCATTCTATGTTGTTGAATGTTATTGTTTAAGCCTTTCAAAACATGATCCAGTAGGTTGCTCATGTGTGTCCCAAGGGACCAATAAGGACTGAATTACTGAACTAACAGATTTCAATAACATTCATGAGTTTTAATGCTTTAAATTGTTCTTTAAGTGTTTTCCTTTAACTGTTTGAGTTTGCCTACAGTACAGATGGATGATTAACAAGGGTTTACACTAAATCTCTGAGCTCCAAGGTTAAGACTCATTCAGAGAGGGTGGGACCGGTTTAGAAAATGGTACTGTCTATCTTAGAGACATTGTGGAGTAACTAAAAACTACGGACCAACTTAAAATCTCATGCTGTAGTAATAATATAATAGTAATAATAATAATCTTTATTTGTAGAGCACTTTTCAAAAACAAATTACAAAGTGCTTTAACAAGTGTAAAGACAATACCCATAACACAATACAGAAACAATACAAGATAAAAGCAAGAAAACATTGAAAAGTCTGAAATACACGTTTAAGATAAATATAAAATAAGTAAAATAGAATAAAATAAAAAGGGATAAAATAAAGTAAAATAAGATTGGGAAAGGCTCTCCTATAAAAGTATGTTTTAAGAAGGGACTTAAGAGTTCACTGACTCAGCCGACCTGATTTCCTCAGGCAGGTTGTTCCAGAGCCTCGGGGCCCTGACAGCAAACGCTCTGTCCCCTTTAGTTTTCAGTCGAGACTCTGGAACAGACAACAGAACTCTGCCCGAGGATCTCAAGGTGCGTGCTCGTGTGTATGGGACTAAAAGGTCATAAATATAACAAGGCGAGAGGCCATGAAGAGCTTTAAAAGTGATCAATAAAAGTTTAAAGTAAATTCTAAAACATACTGGGAGCCAGTGTAGTGAAGCTAAAATAGGGGTAATTTAGTCATTTCTTTGTTCTGGTTAAAAGCCTGGCAGCTGAGTTCTGGACAGTCTGGAGTCTCGATCAGTAGATTTTTGGGTTAAACAAGTGAAAACGCTGTTGCAATAATCCAGGCGTGATGAGATGAAGGCGTGTAAAATGGTCTCTGTGTCCTTAAAAGTTAACATAGATCAAATTTTTGCAATATTTCTAAGTTGATAAAAACATGATTGAACAAGCTTTGTGGTGTGCTGCTTGAAATTTAAATTACTATCAAACCAGACACCAAGGTTCTTTGCAACAGGCTTAATGTGATTTACTAGGGAACCAGCAGATGGCAGTACTTGTTTTGCCATCTGCTGGGACCCGATGACCAGGATTTCTGTTTTGTCTGAGTTCAGCTGGAGGAAATTATTTGACATCCATTTTTTAACTTCACAAAGGTAGTCGGTAAGTGAACTCAGCATTTCAGGGTCTGTGGATCTGACAAGTACATTTGTGTGTCATCAGCATAAATATGAAAAGAAATACCATGTTTATGGATAAAATGTCCAAGGGGAAGCAGAGACGAGGAAAACAAAATGGGTCTTAAGACTGACCCCTGAGGCACACCATATTTAACTGGACAGAACGAAGAGAAATTGTTTACAAACACGCAAAGCTTCCTATTTGACAGGTAGGATTAAAAACCATTCTAGGGCAGTACCAGAGATCCCCACCCAGTGTCTCAGTCTTTCTAACATGAGGTTTATCAATGGTGTCAAATGCAGCACTAAGATCCAGGAGTACCAGGACTGAGCAGGGCAGTCTCAGTGCTGTGGTACTTCCTGAAACAGAGATCAAACAGGGCCCAACAGAATCTATTACTTTCAGTAAAAACTTTGTAGGTATTACATCAAGTGGGCTGGAGGACACTCATTTGTGATACTGTTTTTAAAAGCTCAGACAAGTTGATGGGATAAAACTGGTTAAAACTCTCTTGTTGCTGGTGAGGAACCTCTTAGTAAGAGGCCGCAGGGGTAATAGAGGCTCTGATTGACACCACCTTATTGGTAATATAAGATAAAAACAATTCACAGTCATCATTACTTCCAGCTGAGGCACAAGGAGGGGTTGGGTTTACCGGCTGATCCACAGTCTTAAACAGAAACCTGGGATTGTGTTTAGTAATGAGTTAAGAAAAATAGTGTGTTCTCGCATCCTTAACCATGTTATTGTAGTTAATTAATAAATCCTTTAGACTGAGGTAATGGACTTGGAGACTGGATTTTTTCCGTCTGCATTCCCTTTTTAGGCTGCAAATTCTGTCATTTATCCAGGGTTGCTTACTAGCTTTAGACGTAGGCCTAACCTTTAGAGGAGCAGAAATATTTAGTAACAACAAGCAGATATGATTGAAGTGATCGACCAGATTGGTGGTGTTGGAATCAGACAGGTGTTGGCTTTGGCTCTGAAAGAATGTGCAAAACTTTGAAACACTTTGTTCATT